AAAAAAAAAAAAAAAACAAAAAAAGAAGGGAAGCTAAAAGTGGTATATAACGAATAGCTATTTGAAATAGGCTCGACCATATTTTTTCTATTGTATGACATATATAGTTACGTATTCGTATACACGCGTATCTCTTCATCGATAGCAAATTGACATAGGTGGACCAACGAAAAGCTTCCAAAAGAGACCCCGCAATGCGGTGTTTTGGTGTCTGCATTCCCTATTTTCTTTCTCTCTTTCTCTCTCTCTCTCTCTCTCTCTTTTTTACTTTCTTTCTTTTTCTCTATAGATACACGTATATACATACATATGTCGATGTGCGAGAGCATTGTCGACATGCAAGTTTTTCTACGAGCCATCCCCTTCTTTCCATTTCTTTTCGTACTACCCTTTACCCCTTACCCTTCTTTTTTCTTTTTTCTTTCCCTAATTTCTTTTTCTTTTTTTACAGTTGTTTTTCATACAACTTCCTCCCGAGAACTCTTTTGACTACCCGTCAACTTAACGTCGAACACCAAATCTGTTTTTTTTTTTTCTTATTACACGTGTATAAATTCTAGAACAAATTGTATAAGTTCTTTACTTTGTTATATAAATTCTAATAATTTTCTCATCGTTTTAAATATTTGGAATAAAAAAACCAAACTTAAAAAATACGTACGTATTACTCGTAAAAAAGGAAAATCAATCGCGATTTTGGAATGTTAAAAATTTTAATTTAAAAAAAAAAGAAGAAAAGAAAGAGAGAAGTTTTATTACGAAAAGAAAAAAAAAAACAAAAAATCACCAATCGATAGGAAAAGAAAAAGAAAGAAAAAAAAAAAAAAATATAGAAATTCGTAAATCTTTCCCGCGTTGCGTGCGTCTATATATTTATATGTGTGTGTGTGTGTATATATATATATGCGAATGTAAAAGTGAGAGAGTAAAAGAATGGCGTCGACATCCGGAGTGGCGTCTCTCGGAAATTGGCAAAGAAATGTTGGCTCGATGAAGAGAGATGGGGGTGGAAGGGGAAGGGGGTGGTGGAGATGGGTGGTTGGGTAGGTAGTTTAAGAGTGGGGGATGATAGTACGAGAGTAGTAAAAGAAGTAAGAGAGTTATCCGACACTATCGGCGATCTCTCATTCCGCAATGCGGCTTTTCGTCGTGTCCTATATAGTCAGTATAGTAGTCCTAGTAGTGAGTGGGCCTTTAGATACTTGTGTTTCGTGTTATCCCTATCTCTCTCTCTCTTACTTCCTCACTTTCTAATAATCGATAAGTAAAAAAAGATAAGAAAACAAAAAAAGAACAAAATAAATCATCGTGTAAAGAGAGGAGTCTCGAAAATATTTTTTTTCGAACTTGGGTGGAGACTTCTCGTTCATTATTTTGCGAAAGATATAAATAAAAATATAGAAAATTGATAATCGTTTTTGATTTATTCGCGCAATATCTATTTTTTTTTCTAATTCTTTCATAATTGATTAGTAAAATAAAACAATTAATAATAAATTATTATGATAAGAGAAGTAACGAACGTTCTTTGATACTTGTACTTTTCGTTCATTTCTTTTGCGAAAGAAATAAATCAAATAGAAAATCGATAAGCATTTGATTTATATTCGTGAAATTATCTATTTTTTTTTATAACACTCTTTTTAACACCTTAATAGTCGATTAGTACAAAATAGGAAGAAGAAGAAATTATTGTAAAAATAAAGATCGGAAAATATTCCATCGAACTGTGCTTTTCACTTATTCTCGTAGAAGGAGTAACGTTATCACACATTTTCTTATATACAGAATTGTAGTAGAATGTCCAGTACACATGTAAAAAAGGAGAGAGAAAGAGAAAGAAAGAAAGAAAGAAAGAAAAAATAGATTGAATACCAACACGACTACCTAAAGGCAGACACACAGGCACACATATACACAAGTATAAGAATCCATACTCAGAGGGTTGGAGAAATCTTCTAAAGTACAAGTATATATACATATATATATATATATATATATATATATAAGTGAAATCGAGATGTACGTTTGTGAGTGAGAGAGTAAGAAAGAGAGAGAGAAAGATAGAGAGAGTGTGTAACGGGCCAGCTATTCCCAATTCCCACCCAATCTAAAATCAATCTTAGTTCGTTCTCTTAGACGGCACACGAAAGTGGGATTGCAAGTTGTGAGGATGATGTGAGAGAGAAATACGAAAGGATGAAAGAGAGAAAGAGAAAGAGAGAGAGAGAGAGAATAAGAGCACGTAGTAGTAGGGGTGCTTCGGTGGCCCGATCACTTTTAAGCGGCCTTACGAGTCTGCATTATTCAAACTCCAGCGAAGCGCTTTCGACGGTTCTCTCACCTTCTCTCTCTCCCTCTCTCTCTCTCTTTTTCTCCGTTTCTTAACTTTCTCTCTCTTTCTGTTAAAGGGTGAGACTCTTGGTGCGCTCCTTTCATGCTTCTTCTCACTAATTCTCGATGCTTCCCTCTCTCGAACGTCTTCGAAGTCGAGGTCTTGCCAATCCAGAAGGGAGAGGGGGTGAGAAAAGGGTAGTAGTTTGAGGGTTCACGAAATCGAGCGAATCGAGGTTGCCGATGCGTGTCAATCACCCTCTCTCATTCTTTCATCTAATTCTACTTCTCTTCTCCTTACTTTCTATCTATCTTTATTTCGTTCTACCATTTCTCTTTCTTTCTTTTCTTATTTGGAAACATAACATTGGATAATGAACGTGTCTCGCTGCATTCCGAAGAGTTATTTCGCGTAACTCGCGAAACACGATGGATGAGGATTAAAGAAAGAAACAAAAAAAGTAAGAAAGAGAACAAGAAAGATTCGAGATATCGAAACGCAAGAAATCATGGGACTGTAATACTATTCGATATACGATTTACTATAATTGCCAAATTTTCTCAGTAATTTTCTGAGACATTTTTTTGTCTCCTTCTAATTTCCCTTTCCCCCTCTCTCTCTCTCACTCTTTTCATGGGTTTTTTAAAATCCGAGCGATGACTATTCCAAATCACATACCGTCCCGTTTCCCGGATGCGTATGATTTTAATCGTTCATAGAACGATTCTCGTTGTGAACCTGAAGTAACATTTATCTGGTCTCATTCTCTCTCTCTCTCTCTTTCGGAGATGACGATAAACGAGCATCGAGGCAGATTAAAGGGAGCACGTAATAGGATTAGAAAGACACAGAGAGAGAGAGAAAGTTAGAGAATGGGAGGGGCAGGGGGAAGGGGAGTATTAGGACGTCTCGAGCGACGGGATAAGAAATAAGCTGTGGAAATAAATCTTTCGGTATTTCACTTGGAATCTCTGAAACGTCTGGACCACTCGACGAAGGGCGTTATTTGATAACACTAATATAACTTCAAGCCCTTTTTCTTTCCTTTCCATTTTTTTCTCTCTCTCTCTCTCTCTCTATTTTTTTCTTATTATATTATATTTCTGTCTTTTTCCTAGTTCTTTTTTTTTAATTTTT